GTGTAAGTCCGTTGGTTCGTTCGTTAGTTCGTTGGTTCGTTCGCTGGTTGGTTGGTTGGTTGGTTCGTTCGTTCATTCGTCCGTTCGCTGTTTTAGTTGTTTGTCTAACGCAACAACAGCAAAAACATTATCTATATGTAAATTACAGAAACTGACCAAGAGCAAATCTTTGGTTGAACACAACTGATACCTTCAGGGTACGATGACTGCAGTCAACCGAGTCACCGCACCTGACAACCCAATCCGTTCATTGTTAGTCCCTGTTATACGACAAACGTAGGCGACAGAGAGCCAGTTCTAACAGAAACCCTGAATAACGCCTATTATCCGGTGATTTTTAGGTAATTGGATTTGTGTTCCTACAATCGGACCTATTTTACGCGTGACCAGATTATAACCTCGTTGTTGTGTGAAGGTTCTACTCAGTGCACTCTCTGCGAGGTGTATGTTAAACTTTATACACGTTTTGTTCTCGTTTACACATTTCTTTGTTTCATTTTCAGATATCTATCATACTTCATGTTGACATGCATTGATATAACTGTAGCTCTGTTCACAGCGACCTTTCACTACACATACTAACACACATTTACATACCCTAACCAACTATTCTCACGAAATGTGCTCCATTGGTAATTTTACGTGTCTCCGCATTAAAATAGAACACTTTTACTGATTTCACCTGTTCATTTCATGTTTATGTTAGGCGACAGGCTTGGTTAGTCAAGATCACTAAACTGTGCATGTCTCCAATGATAGTACAGTCAGCTCTCGTTAATCCGACACTCATTAATCCGACAATCACGTTAATCCGACAAAAAAGTAGGAAACCATTTAAAACTGTGATAATGACTCTCGTTAATGTATAACATTTTGAGTGAAGGTATTGTCCCTTTCGCCCAGACCCAGAACATATTTTCAGGTGGTTGAATTTTTTAGAATTTATGTTTAATATGATGTCTCCATAGACGTGTGATCCACTTTACCCCATGAAAATGACCATATAATTATTTTTAAAAAGTATATGCATTCATTAGCTAGTGTTCCATATTTACAGTTTTATTGGGACAATACAAGATCAATCTCACAGCCATTAAATTTCAGCCGAGATCTCACCATGATGCTTCACAGGTTTAAAGTTGTAGAGAATTTTAAGGATGTAAACAAGGTGACCACCATAAGATAAAACACTGTACATCCAGTGTCATCAAAAGGGTCTTTAAACGAACGGACCTATTCAGTAGTAATAACTTTAAACGTTTGGTGGGTGCTAAAGGGCGTCTGTGTAATTTCCAAGTAGCATCTTTTTCTCGGTTTGCACACAATAGTTACGTACCTTTGGCACTGACCGTTCACTGGTTCCAGAAGTAATATTGGCGCAGTCATCTAAGCGCCAAAAGCACATGGCATGACGGACATTTTGTTTAGTGGTGTGATTGAAATGTGCTCGACTGTCCAGTGACTGTCTTACCAGAGTACAACTGATCACACACTATCTGGGCTACTCAGGTAAGACAGTTTTATGGATCTAAAGTTATGGCATGAACTCTTCTAAACGTTAAATGATTATTTACTTTTAATTAGCTTATCAGAGTTGATACTCTACATCAAACTAAACAGGTAACGTGATTACAGCTTGGATGAATTTTCACTGTGCTTCTGTAGTGTCAGTGCATTAAATAATGAATGAAACGAAGAAACAGTCAATCACTGTTGCATCTTTTAATGTCACTCAGAGTAATAGAATAGCAACGTTTCCCAAGTAATTTTTCTAAAAACAGATATGGTAGTGTTACGGTAGCGTAGATTACAAGATTTATATTCAAGTTGTATAATGGTTTTGTTGTTTATTACAATATAATACAGATAAAACTTATGTGAAATATATTTGTGGTAACACTTAGTTTTAAAAAAAACTGTATAGTAAGTTTGGTTATCAAGTTATGCAAATTAGTTTACACAGTCATGATTGGCGAGTTTCGTTTTCTTTTTGACATGTGACTTTTGATAGTTTGAATTTTTTGAACAATAAATGATGTTCTAACAATAAAATAAAACACTCACCCTCTCTGTGTAAGCCACGCCGAACTTCTTCCTGAAAATCAGGCTGTCATTACATTTGCCGTAATCTCCCCCGAGTCGTTGAATCGTTACCTGATATCACCAGAAGAAAAACGAAACCACATCAGTCTTTCCAGGTCTCGGGAGAACGCATATCCTGGTATTAAAGGATGTTAAAGGGACCGTTGTGCTTATGACTTGAGGCATGACGGAATACTCTTCCATTATTAGAAAATTTGTTTAGCACATATGCACAAAAAGATAATGCCCAAGACAGATAGGCACAGAAGAATGTGTAGGAGAAGAATATGCTATTGAGACTGACCTGACATTATACTGGTGAAGAAGAGATAAGAGGAGCATACAGGGGACGAAGGACCTAAGAGAAGACGTAGACGATGGTGGTAAGGACAGAGTCGTGAACGACGTTTATATAAGGCGGTGGTGAAGAGGTAAGGCGGGCCGACGAGAAGACGTAAAAGATGGAGGCAACGACGAGGTGCGCACGGAAATAAGGACAGTGGAGAAGAAATGATGAGAACTACTGAGATCGGATCGAGAAATGACGAAAAGGAACGAGGACGTAGGAGGCAGAGAAAAAGGTGGTGAGGACGAGATGAGCACGGAGAAGATGGAGACGACGGTGGTAAGGACGGAGAAGATGGAGATGAAGACGGAGATGAACAGAGGTCGAGGACGGAGGCTAGGACAAGGAGAAGAGGGGGCTGTAGATGAGGATACAAGCAAAGATGGAGTTTTGACAGACAAAATGGAGGGGAGGGATGTGAAGCCGTTACAGGAAGCCTACTTGACAACGACGTACCAGTTTCATCGCAATACTTGTCTCAGAACCCGCTGAGACCGTGAAACCTTCTGACCCGGGAAAGGGGCGTGTCCCGTTGTCGTGTATTACCACCCTCAGGCCGTACCCCGTCTTGAAAGTGTCGATAAATTCCTCGGATTCGAGATTGATGACCATTGATAACCCTGGTAGAAACATCCACAAACAGTACTGATACAACATATATTTATCATAGGTTTTCTGGCAATATATCAGTGATGTGAGTGCTGTCTGTAAATATTTGAATCTGGACCAGATAAACCAGTGGTTGATATCATTTGCAATGATCCGAGTGAGGGAGGGAGTTTGGTTTTACGCCGCTTTTAGCAATATTCCAGCAACATCACGCCGGGGGACACCAGAAATGGGCTTCACAAATTGTGCCCATGTGTGGAATCGAACCCGGGTCTTCGGTGTGACGAGCGAACGCTTTAACCACCAGGCTACCTCAGCGTCCCTTATAACCGGAATAGGCACACATATGTTTTACTCTTGAAACTAGGTACAATACCTCACTTAGGCTACCGCAATGATCCGAACTGTCGGGGGACCACGATGTTCTATCAAGTAGATCAGTATAAAGGACGTGCTCTAGCAGTTTCTCCGTGAAATCAGTCCAAAGAAATATAATACGCGAGTTCGCCCTGTTTCCATTAGAAATACACCGGTCGATTATAACATTTGGTCAAACTTTGAACAGATGGTTATTTTTATCAGAATGTTAGTGAAACAAAAGGGCGTACTTGTTTACAGAAAGGACATAGGCCATTGTCCCTGACTGTATGTGTATTATTGCTGTTAAAAGAACAAGTAACTGTCTCCGTGTGTGAATTAGAGAGAGTAAGTTTGGTTTAACGTCTCTTTAAATAGTGCTCCAGTTAACCCCGAAGTCATCTTAGCTCTCAGACTTTGACCAAGTTTGCGAAATCCACGAGCATGGACACGATGCTGGCAAACCTACAAACATAACAGGGACGAACCGGGATTCTATTCCACAGTCATAGGTTTCTGGCGTGCCAAAGGGACATAACTCTACACAGAAAAATGCGGGACAATGAACGGCTTAGCCAACCTTATCTCCCTTAAGAATAAAAGGCCCAACGGGTGTGTCCTCTGACTTAAACATCCTTCTGTAAAATACATCCCTACTCACAACAAACATTAGTTCTATGTTATTATTTCAGTGCACATTAATTGATACAAGCATGAAAAAAATAACAATTCGTTCAATTGTTCAAAATTGTTAAAACACAGACTTACAGAAAAACGCTGCATGACAGCTTTTTGTTTTGTTTTCAGAACTATCAAAGCGACATGGAAAGTACATACATTTGAGTTCCTACAAAGAAGTAATTATAAATCACTCAATATAACAACATGCTTTAGCGCCGTGCAGTGTTATCACTGATGTAGGTCGAGCGGAATACAAACATGGAGCCAGGCACACGTTCAGTGACAGGTTGGGTGAATAAAACGTGGGAACGTTGACGGTAAATTTTGTATTGTCTGATGTGGTAAAAATATGTTTAATGTTAATACAGGCATTGAAGAAATATAACAGAAGATAATAATTGCTGTTATATTAGTCAGTGTAAAGTTTAAATGTTTCAAACAATGAACTGACTGCTACACATTAATGGACGTTGGAAGAAACAGGAATCAATCAATTATCACCAAAGTTGATAAAGCCGTTTGTTGGTTTTTCCTTAGAGGAAAGCATCGGATATATTCTAACACGAATCATATACCAAACTGAGAAATAAGACCCGTCCAACCGCCCGAGACGGGTAAGATTTCTGACAGACTGTCTAACTTTACAGCTGGTAAATATTTTAGATAACCAGGGCCGTAGTTAACTTTTCTAAGGGAGGGCACTATCCACACTGAAAGAGTGTTAGATCAATACTTTGATGTGCAAAAAATAATCTGTATAAAGAGGTGGGGGTGGGGGTGTTTGGTGGTTGGTATGAACGGTCGCTTTTTATCTCCCATTAGGGATTCCGGATCAGAGAAGAGTTTCCCGAGACCATATCCAGGTAACAACAGGTGTTTCACATGGACATGGCGCAATCAGGTACTGTCACGTAGTTTCTGGTCATCACACCCCCGAGTTACCTCCCTGATCCTTACCTGATTCTGGTCCGCTTTTCGTGGCCTGTATCCCTTTGTTCTTAAGCGTGAAGCAGTTCCCAAGATCTTTGGATAGAAACGCCGTGAAGTTGCTGTAAAGACACTTTGAGACATCTTAAAGATGATTACAATATCCAAGGCACCAGTCATTAATTTGATTCTGCTTCAGTACAATGCCTCCAATCTCCATATTCTGTGTCAGGTATATCGAATTCCCCACAATATTATGTTTGTATTTGTGGCTTGGTTTTCATGACAAAGGCAAGTGTACATGTTTATATAAATACCCCGTCGCGATATTGATGAGGTATTGCTAAAAACGGCATAAAAACTCACTCACTTATATAGATACATACCTTCCGGAGATAATATAATGCATCGCTACAGCCAAATAACAACTCAAATGAAACCTCTAATTGTTAGATGCTAACCCTTCAAGTAACAAATGCGACCGCTACAATGCCTTAATATACACAATGCTAAAGAATGGAAATGGGGAGTTATCGAGTACTACTAGCCTTTTCTATTATCATTACGTATATTCCCATAACACCTTTGCCTACCTGGCATCGCACCCTCGTCCATTGAGGGAGCACTCCATCAGCATAGATTCAAGGTCATGGCCAACGTCTTTACGAACCCCGCTACAAAGAATAAGTTGAGGTTACCAGAATATCTCTGTAAATACCATGCGTCATCCCATTACACGAGGTGCTCCATAAAGTGCTGCTCTATCCATATGGCATGATATGTCATTTCCTTTACACTGAAATGAGATCAAACTGGCAGGAAAAATCATCACTTTATCCGCTGACATGCCAATTACTGTCAATACTGCGATCACAAGGTCATGTATACTAACTAGCCAAGAAGAAGAAACATCACCAGATAACTTACTATAAAAAAATTATAGTAATCCTACTAGTGTTAATCCGTCATATAATCTATGAGACAGACCATTGATCTAAATGTTCCTCTATCACATCGAGCAACAAAATTTCCATGACGATTTTCATGATGGACATCCCACGTGTCCAAACTAAGGACATGTTGGCACCCATTTTCAATCCTGCCGCCATATTTTCATTGCCTTTCCAAATTCTAAGAAATACACATATAATCAGAGTTAGGGAGGCCTTTTCTGTTGCAAAAGTTCATCTGTCAAATCTATAGTATAACTATAGCAAAGTGAATGACAACGTGGTTTAAGACATGAATGTTTAGTTTTTCTCACGGGTCTTCTCCTGCCAAATAATCGGCAATCAGCTCCCTCCTCAGGTAGAAGGTGTCCAGACCGCCTATTTCCTCCTCCCGACAGCCATCCTCGTCGCACACGTATTCCGTCTCCGTGAACTCGGTCAAGTCAACTGGCTCGGTGTCCAAACATTCCTTCAGAGACATAAAGACAAGGACATCACCCGAATACTATTTGTGGTGAAGTGTAACCGACGTCCTGTTTTGTACAGAGTATAGAAGTGCACAGGTAGTCTGGCGGCTTGTCTTTTATCGTACAACACACATTTTTACAGTCATAGTTGCGACACATTAATTTATCGTACAGGTCTGCATGTACAATACTTTGATTTCATTGGTCCATGACACTTTAACATTGTTGCCATGTTACCCTCCCAGAGGAGGGTTACAACGGGAAAAATATTAGTCTAAACAACACGTATTTGCCGAACTCTGTACTTAAGCTCCATACAACGACACCGGGTTTGGTCGACGTAAATTCTAATAGAATTGCGGATGCAAGTTATGCAGAGAGTTTGTATGTGAACATTCTTCACGTGGCGTTCATATGTAAAGCAAAATGGCGACAAATAAACGCTTCGCCCCGCATTCTAATGAAGAAATCCTCGAAAAATGTTCTAAAGTAATTCCAGATAATACGAAGAAATCAAACTACTCATCGCAAAGATCTTGAAGGAATGCTTGAAAGAAATGAGCAAAAATCCTTATTTTGAGAATGTCGACGTAGTTGCGTCAGCAGAGATGCTCTCATATTTTTACATGGACATTCAGACAAACAGCTGGAGACCTGTACAAGACCACGACCCTGAGAACATAAGGCACAGTTTAACCAGGTATCTGACATCACTGCCACACTGCAAAGATTTCGATATTATCAAAGACCCAGGATTTAGTTAGGCTAACGAGTCAAGACGTCAATGTTGGAACTAAAACCTGCCGGGAAGGGTGAAACAGAACACAAGCAAGTGATATCAGAATCTGACAGAGAGAAGCTTTATTCCTCAACAATTCATATGAACACTAACACTCCCTATGGCCTCTCAAACAAGGTACAATATGACATACCATTCTACTTTTTCCGTCGTGGTATGAAAACATGGACAAAATAAAGAAATCTACCTTCGCGGCTCGGGTGACATTGCTACGCAGATGGTACATCAGACCGTATTATCCTCGAGAGAAGCTTAAAACCCATAGTATGCTACTCCTTAGTATGCTACTCCTTATTATGTCAACCGGTTTTCAGATCGTCACAAACAACCCACCCCACCCCAAAATAAATAAATGAATGAATAACTAACTAACTAACTAACTAACTAACTAACTAACTAACCTAACTGAATGAATGAATGAATAAATAATGAATGAATGAATGAATGAATGAATGAATGAATAAATAAATAAGGATGATAATGATGATGTGAACAGCCACTTTTGGGTGGGATCTGAGCACCAAATAGTAAATTATCGCAGAATCTCTTTACTAAACATAGGAACAGTTAAGATAAAAGATTTCACTACAAACAGTGATGAGTGAACGGAAACGTACAGAAGAGACAATTCGTGTACGTTTCAAGCAACATGTAATAAAGGGCTAGGAAGATAAAGGCTGCATTATGTAAAATGTATACATGTGTTAAGTAAATTTTGCGGCAGTAAACTTTGTTGTGAGATTTGAATGGTTTGGATGAAGCCCATGGACTCCATGTATGGATGGACTAAATAACCTGAAACAAGCACCCTGACGAACACAACTCAGAGAAACCAAGGGAAGAAACGACCTTGCCCAACCCACCCGTACCCACAGTGGGTCATAATAATTAACTACATCTCGGTAATGGCGTACTTCACTCTGGTATTCAGTGGGGATTTCGAGGGTTTTCTGAAGCGTGCATTCGAGCAAATTCGCCTTGGACAGCTTGATGGGGTTCATGTTGCAGATGGTGACGGCAGGGAAGGGCAGTGCAGTGAAGCCAAGTTTCACCGACGTCTTAACGGGGTACTTGTAAAACGTCGTGAAGAGTTCGACAAGCTGAATGATCATCATTGTCGTTGCCCCAAGAAAGAACAACGTCCACATAATCTGAAAATACGCAGATATGTTCATGAGAAAGTAACTTTCGAGTGGCTGTTATCTTCTCTTTGGCATTGATAGGATAATTTACAAACGACATGAAAAACTGATCAACTTTGAACTTCGCACTCTGACATTGTTACAGTGGAGGTGGTATTAACGTTTCCGTGGCTCTGAACAGTTTTTGTGTCCAAGGGAAGCCTCGTTGTGATGTAAGTAGACGTGTAATGCAGGTATGGTGTTGACAAACCTGTAAACATAATCAGGGTTAATTTGGGATTCGATCCCACGAACAAAGGCTTCAGACACGCAACTCTATGCGGCTAATTGTGTGTCGTCCCATGGGTACTCGTACTGTTGTCAATCGCTCTACAATTTGCTTCGGCCCTCCAAGACCAAAATCTTTATGACTGCTCTGTAATCCAGCTTATCCATTTCTGCCGTTACAATAGGGGTACGTGTATTTAGATGTCACGTGACCGGAAACTAGCGATATGTAAATGTCAATATTACGTTTGTGTGAATGATGTGAACCATTCTTCAGTATCATACAATTATTTTTATCATGCACACATCAGAAGTAGTTAGGATTAAAACGTTTTGATAGCCCCTGTATTGGGAAACGGCCATTAAGCATCGGTAGAACTAGTGAACAAGCGAAGATCAGGATAGGTATTTAGGAAAGAATTTACTTTAAAATTCTTAGAAAAGAATTTCTTAGAGTTTCACTTAGAAGACTAGTTATAATGGTTCTAAGAATAATTCCAAGCCAAAAGCAAACTTAACCTCTGAAAGTAACACATATTTCCGCCATTGGTCATAACCTTGGGAATCCCCGTACAATATTTAAAACATTTGATCAGTAATAACATGTATTATATATTATCTACGGTCGCAGGACTTAAAACAATCTGGAACACATGCACGAGTCCCAGATTAATCAGTTTCAAATACATTATTGAATATACGCGATAAATACTGCACATTTCTTTTGTAAAAATCACTAATACATATCGTTTCAAAGACAAGTGCTTGATGGATTGTCCCTAGTTTCAAGAGTAAAAGCTATGTGTACCTGTTCCTGTTATGAGGGGCCTTGTGGTTAAAGCGTTCGCTCGACATGCCGAAGACCCGGGTTCGTTTTCCCACATGGGTACAATGTGTGAAGCCCATTCCTAGTGTTCCCCGCCGTGATATTGCTGGAATATTGCTAAAAGCGGCGTAAAACTGAACTCACTCACTCCGGCCAAAAGTTATAAAGACATTTTTATGAACAGATTACATTTAACTTCGCGAGGCCACTACGGGATCACGGACAAGAAATTGGGTCCCTCCTTTGAAATCCACTTCTCAGATGGCTGGCTGATTTGATGTTACCTCATTCTCCAGCTGCTTGGTTTGATACTTATTCTATCAGCCCCTGGTTTACCATATCAAGTACTCATATAACATGTGGTGTACGCTAATGAGGATAGTAACTTTATCCTCCATCCGCTCAAAAACGTCAAAAAAAACACAGCTTGAGAATCAAAGCGTGGCGAGCAAACCATTTTAACGAATAGGCTAGCCCACAGACACAGACCTCTTAGAACCTATGTGAACCGTGTTTAAATACCGATTGAAACGGCGTCCCCCATTCACCCAAACACTGCTTACCTTGAATACAAGTCGCGGCGACGCCCATATCTTGGGTATTCCCATAAACGAGGTACTTTCTGCAAAGTACGTGAAGAACGTGACACAGTTACCGCGTGGCTTTTCTTTCTCATCATTGTCGCTCGGGAAAACCTTGGGATTCTAGAGAAGAAATATAGGTTATACGTCACAATGCCAATATCAGGGATCGTTCTAAAGTGACTGAATTCTGGACGTATGTGACCAGATAATGCAATACCTTCAGAGTACCAGCCAAGGCAGTGCCAGCATATCGTGTATGACAAACAGCCAGTGAGTGAGTGAGTGAGTGGGTATCCCATAAACGAGGTACTTTCTGCAAAGTACGTGAAGAACGTGACACAGTTACCACGTGGCTTTTCTTTCTCATCATTGTCGGGAAAACCTTGGGATTCTGGAGAAGAAATATAGTAATGCGTCACAGTGTCAATATCAGGGATCGTTCTAATAGGATTGAAATCTGAGTGAATCGGGATAACCTTGGGATTCTGGAGAAGAAATATAGTAATATCAATGTCAATATCAGGGATCGTTCTAATATGATTGAAATCTGAGTGAGTGAGTGAGTGACCACAATGTTAACAACAGTTCCAACTAATTAACCTCTAACAAGCATGTCCCATTGCTCCTTCACGCTTGTGTTAACATCCAGATTGCAGTGTTAGCACAAATGTCATACATAGCTCTTGTTCATCTTCCACAATGGCAAGGAATTAGTCATGTTAAAAGCTATTATTACATATACATTTACTATTTACACACCGAGAGTGGCCGTTACGGTTTAATCGTTAAATCTGGAAATATCCTTGACTGGATTATATCTCACGAGGAAAATGGAACCATAAACAATGTTTCTGTTGAAGACAGACAGATGTCTGACAACCTTTTAGTTTTCGTTACATTAAACGCAAGTAGACCTTTGAAGAAAGAGGAAACCGTGACATGCCGAAATCTCAGAAATATTGATCACAACGAGTTTCAACTGGATCTGATGGAGTCCGCATTGCTATGTGACCCCCAACTGATGTGATTGAGCATGCCCAACTCTATCATGACACCCTCTCCACACTGCTCGATAAGCATGCCCCACCTGTGCTGAAATAGGTCCAAGTACGTACAAATACACCCTGGTACTCTCAACATGTTCAGGAAGCCAAGGCCGCACGTCGACAAGCCGAGCGGAAATGGTCGAAAAAATCATCTCGAAATAGACCGTCAACTTTATAAGCAAGCTCGGAATGCCACCTCAACTGTTATTCGTAACTGCAAGAAGGACTACTGCCTCCAGCAGCTCTCCAATATCCATGATACGATCGATCACAACCTTCTTCTAGACAGTATCAGTATGGTATCGATGGGACAGCGCTGCGGTGGTATCTTCATACATTCATGGAAGATCACAATTTGTAATGATTGGATATGACAAGTCATCCTCTGTTAACTTGCAGTATGGTGTCCCGCAAAGATCTGTTCTAGGTCCAGTGCTATTCGTCCTCTACTGTGGCAGTACTTCAAGCATCATCTCACAGCACCGTCTCCTTCATCACTCCTATGGTGATGACTGTCAATTGTACAACCAATTTCTTCCTCAGAACTCACTTGAAGCTCTATAGTCCCTGAAATCTTGGATGACCACAAACAAACTCAAATTGAACAGCGATAAAACTGAAGCTATCCTTTTCGGAACCAAGCAGCAGCTCCAAAGGTGGACATAAACACCATCCACACAGAAGTCCAGTTGGCAAAGTCTGTCAACGATCTTGGTGTCCTGCTGGTCCCAACGCTTTCCATGGAAGCTCAGATTAATAACTTCTGCAAGACTTGCTACTGGAATCTCCGAGTGATTGGGAATATTCGTCCCTTGATCACCACGGAAGCTGCTAATTGTCTAGCTTGATGCCTGATACTGAGTAGACTTGACTACTGTAACAGCCTCTATGTAGGACTCCCTGATGTCCTCCTTGACATACTTCAAAAGGTGCAAAATACGGCAGCACGAATCGTGACCCTCACCTCCAAGAAATCCCACATCACTCCTGTTCTTAGAAATCTCCACTGGCTTCCAATAAGAGCAAGAATCCAGTTCAAAATTCTCTGTCTGACATATAAATCTCTGCACGAGCAATCTCCTCCATACGTTTCAGAGCTGATATCAGCCTATGCCCCAGCACGGGAACTAAGATCTCAACACCAGAACCTACTGACAGTGCCACAAATACAAACTGAAGTCCTTTGGTCAGAGATCTTTTGAACATTATGCCCCCTACATGCCCCTTTCTTCCCCAAGATCTTTAACATTCTCCAACGCTTTGATTCATTCAAAGCGAGTCTCAAAACCTATCTTTTCCGCCAGTTCTATGAATACTAACATTGTCATCATACCTTCCTATGTACTTTTGATTGTTGCGCCTTGAGCATGCTGCTAGCGTGGAAATGAGCGCATTAAAATGTGCACTATTATTATTATTATTAGAGCATAACTAATACCGTCCATGTTTAGATGCGTAGGTCGGTCAATTATTCACCCCGATCCTATTGGCATTGCATTCATGTGAAACACGACAACACACCCATCCAAAGACGATTGGGCGAGTTTGATTAGTGATTGCACTACCTAGTACTGTGTTTGTACCATTTATCGAGTCCGAAGTTCGCCTTTACTCCACCCGCGATCTTGTTTATGTACCATATAACGTGAATGGACTTGTACATTGATTGTACAACACAGCTCGTTCCTTTGTTTGGCACCATGGGCGCCCACTCTTCCAACATGTACTCGCTTTATTCACTCCCCGTCATAGGCGGATCCATGAATATTCGGGGGCTTGTCGAACCCCATGGCTCCACCAATGCAAAACATTAACATCAATGTGGTCTTTAGTCATTTTCATTTAGTTGCTGTTACATCATAATTTCAGACTCCCCGTCCCCATTGTGTATGGCTGTATGTCAATGGTTACCATGGGCGGATCTAGGAATTTTGAAAGGAGGGGGTTCCGGGGGTTCGAACCCCCTGAACACCCCATTGGCTTCCCCAACGCAAAACTTAAATCGTCAATGTGATCTTAAGTCATTTCCAATGTGTGGGGTCGGCATCCGCCGCTGGTTACAGATAAATAAAATGATATAGAGCCTTAGTGTAGAATGTTTAACTGAAGTACTGTATTGGAACAAAGTTTTGCGAACATGATAAAGGCTTTCAGTATAACATGGTCTTTTTAGGTCAGTGTTGTTTGCTACAGAATGCTCTTCAATGCAGTATGTAATTATTGTTACTGTATGTCAGTGATTCATTCAGATTCAACTCCAACATAAAGCTGTGTTAACATGGACTATTGCAACATGAAACAAAAAAACATGATTTAGCTTAACAACTTGAGCTTAAAATATCATGTGACCCCCAGTAACTAAGATCCTTGACTAGAATGTCATTATACAGTTCTACAAAATGTATAAGACTTTGGCCTTTATGATGACATATGTCCCACATAAACAAAACACACAACAAAAACAACAAAATAATGTGAAATGATCACTAAGGGGGCGAGAGGCTCTACTAATGAGTCCAAATAAAAGATTGGACAAATCTTAGAAGGGTATTTAGAAGTGAAATGCATAAGAGAAGCAAGATTTATGGATGTCAACTTCTTTATTGTGAATAACACAATGTTTCGGAGTGTATGTTTGATCCTTCACAACAAGAAGTTGACATTCATAACTCGTGACTTCTCTCAAGAGATTTGTGCATTGAAGTCACTTCCTCCTAAACGTCAAATATGAAACCATTCACACCCACACAACTTAAAGCATTTGGTAGAATATTTGGCACTTTTGGAGCAACGTGTAAAGACACTTCCACTTGTAAAATGTTAGATGAAACCAACAGAAATAGAAGTATACTTGGTACTTTTTGAGAAAATTGTGTTCCTGTGGGAAAATAAAGGGCAGGTAATTCAAAGGGAGCGAACTCAATATATATGACCCAATATATTGCAGAATCTGAACCATATCGCGATAATCGTATCGTTAGATACTGTACCGGTAATATTGCATAGCCCTACTTCTTACTCTCCGGAAAGTTCTTGGTGGGTTCGGCTAGGCAGCGTTTCCTGGGAGAAGTCCCATTTGCTGTCTGGGCTGCGTGTAGAAGGGGCAAGGGCCCTGAGCTGATGATGAGCCGAACCAGCTTGACTGTGCCAGGATCACCCGAACCCTCTCTGCTGCATTTTCTACTTAACCTTTAAAACATAATAATAAATGTAAATTTATAATGCGCTTTTTCCATGTACAATGCACATGCTCAAAGCGCTATACAATCTGATTATTATTACCCCTGATAACCAAGCTGCCTGTGAGGCGCCAGAAGGTTGAAAGTCACATGACTTACCCCAGCTTCCCCACATCATCATTAGCAAGTTTCAGGAACACCTAAAACCTGCACATTGTTGCGTTTAGTGGTAGTTGATCAGACCGACAGACAGAGGTTTTATTAATCGTATCCCAATTGCGTAGTTTGGTCATGATTGTAATCACTGGAGTGTCTGGTCCAGGCTCGGATATTTACAGACCGATGTCATACAGCTGGAATATTACTGAGTGTATCTTTAAACAACACACAAAACAAAACCGTACGGGTAAACCTCATCTAACTGTGCATCCTTTGATTTATGTTTTCAAACAGATTTTTCAGCTTTATTTTCAAGGATTCCTACTTTACACTGACTCGAATCCTGCTTGTTTATCGTGGACTGGATCTTGTCATCGAGGGCAGATATTTGTGGGTATTGATTGGTTGGTTGATTGATTGTTTAACGCCGCACCTATCTGTAAATATCGAGTCTGGTCCAGACAGTCCAGTTATCAACAACATGAGCATCGATCTACGCAATTGGGATTCAATGACATGTGTTAAACAAGCCAGTGAGCTTAACCACCCGATCCCGTTAGTCGCCATGAGACAAGCATGGGTTGCTGAATACCAATTCTAACCCGGATCTTCACGGGTATAAGGATAATGAAGGCTTACCATCAAAAATATTACTCTACATTAGGTACCGTCTAGTGAACTGAAGGCTAGGGTATGTTTACCAATTATTTCTTTAAGATCACCAATCTTTAAGGGATAAATTGTACATGTAGTTGTGAATTTACAAGCAAAGTGGACATCTCAGTTCCCGTCCAGTCTGAGGACTGTCGTCCCTATGCCTGGGAAAATATACTTGCGCAACAAAGAGAAAATGAAAAGTCTTCCTATATGCGAGCGCATATAGAAAGACTGGTAATTTTTCTCTCTGTTGCGCAGCCCTGTTTGCGCTACAGTTTGCCTTTGGTCCAACACTGCATCACGGGTTTTGAAACGAGTGATGCAAGCTTGGATAAATCACTTGGATCGAAAATGTTCATCCCGAAGCCAATGGATGCAAAAACGTCTAACCTATAAAGACCTGACAATGTAATAAGGAGCCCCATTGGCATGATTTGGGTGCTTGGTTATTATATCTATTGAATATGTAGTTTTTGTTATTTTACTCATTATAAAGATAATTATTTTCTCGTATGTACAGAAGGGCATTATAATGTCCGTGTGTACTTGTGTACTTGCGATCAGCTATCTGTATTTCTATTGTTACTAGAATCCATTCCCAAAGGCTATATACCAGCTTCCACGCCCAATTAAAAGCTTTCACTAGCACACAATGACACATCAAAATGATTATTTGAACGGTCAGATCGATACACAAAGGTAGTTTTATGACTACAATGTTACCATCAGTTCCAATTCATTAATCTCCAAGAATCAGGACCCATTTTGCATTAACGCTAATGTTGACATCCAGATTGTCCAGTTGTCACATACATATCTCTAATTCAACTTCCACAAACGCCAGAGAAGGAATTAGTCATGCTGAAGCTATTATTGTATATACATTTACTCTCACACCGAGTGTGGTCGTTACAGTTTAGAGCACAAATCATACCGTCGATGTTTACATACGTAGGTCGGCGAACTATCAACCCCGAACCTAATGGCTTGGCACAAACCCGGCATACGGCGGACACTGAGGTATGGGTCACTTAATGATTCCCTCCAATAACCCCCACCCCTTTCAGATACATGTTTCTTATTCAGAAATCTCCGCATGTTGTAACAAAATACCAACGGTGCCAGAGCACTGTAGCTCACTTGAATGCGTAGTCGCTTAAATGTCAACAAAGACAGACATTTAACAAACGGTGGTAATGCCCGCAAATATAACAATAACAATAAATAATAATTAGGTTCTATTATGCTTCCTAATCCCCAAAACAATTTCAGACAATTTTAGCAACTATGTATTTTCGACAGTCACTTTAACTTAATTAGGGAGACTAACGTTAATTCGGCGCTTTAGCAAATGCACTTTAACGGATTTAACAAAAGAGAAAACAAATGTTCTGATGACATCGTGTGCGTCTATTTCCCTTCATAATGCCGTCAATGACGCATACCAAGATTTACCCTTCTAAGTCTAGCTCTTGAGAATAACATGTTTGACCCGTTTGAATTAACTTAAAATGAACTTTGAAATACATTCCCTGACACAAAACGTATACACTTAGAAATTGGATGTTATCCAACGATGCCAGCCTGAAAACAGTCGTTAATACACTTCAAACCTTAAAAGTGAGTGGATGAGTTTAGTTTTAGTTTAGCAATAAAGCGCGGGAACACTAGAAATGGCTTCACCCATGTGGAGAATCGAACCGCGGTCTTCGGCGTGGCGAGGGAACTATTTAACCACTAGACTACCCTAACGCCTTTTCACACACTGAACCCAGGCCTTGTCGTAACGAGTGAACCCTTCACCACTATGCTGCCCCAACGCCACTGCACGCTTTATGCAGGACACCCGCATCAATAACCATTTCTTGCTTATTTGAATATATATATATATAAACTGTTTGGCCCAAGAAAGAATATATATATATAAACCAACATACTGCCATTTGCATCTTTGTAATCATTATCGGCATAAAATTTCAGAATGTCTGCCATGGCGGCCATATTGAAAATATGGTCAGAATTTCTTGAACAAACTGGAGTATCAATATTAGGCACAAGCAAATTTCATTTTCATCAGATCAGCGATTTCGAAAAAGAAGCCGGACAAGGCGCTACGAACGCCTGTCAAACAAGCCATAAGATAAGTCTTGGCAGATGCACTAATATACGAGGTTTGCAGATTTACTAACGGTATGTTTTGCGTTATGCACC